ATGCAGCACAAATTTGCCTGTCTTTTCAGTCCAGCTTTTAAATGTTGGTTTGACTGATCCACACAGAATTTTTAATTTATCTGTACACTAACACTTTTATTATCAAAAAATAAAAGCATAGACTGTGTTTTCGTACACAGTTACAAACAAGCCTAAACAGTTGACTTCATCAAGGCCAACTGTAGCCCAGTCCAACTCTCCTTGAAAACAAGATGACTCTGGCTTCAGCCAGCTTCATAAATGAGTGGGAGTTATTAGTTTTGACAAATGCTTTCAACGAAATCTGGGACTGCACTTGCACAGCCTGCATTCCACTAACTACTGCGCTCCCAAGTCTTCACCAGAAGTTGTGTGTGCTGTGCACGTACGTATCGCAATATACAAATCATGGCTTTGCAGATAGAACTGCAATATTATTTCTGAATGCAACCTTAATTGCAACTCAGGTCAAGGTATTTGACAAAGATCTGCTTTTGGTGTCCAAACTCCTAGAGGATCAACCATGCCTAATGCGAGCTTCTGAACAACACAGCGACTGACAGAATGGCTCTTACCAGAGCTACTTAAGCACATGGTTCTTCTCAATCAATTTGTGCAGCACAATGCAATCCTGCTCTTGAATGAGGCCTCATGTTTCAGGTGTAGTAAGAATATTCCTAGAGAAGTCCCCATACATCACAGGCAGCAGTGGAAGAAAGCGTAAAGGAAGGAGCATGGGGAAAAGGAGGAATAGCCAGTCATATCTTGGTAGCTGCACTCTTAATAAGTATCAGAACTTCAGAGACCAAAAGTATCTGCTGGACACTGAAGTCCTTCAGGCTTTATTGAAATTACACAATTTCTGAAATAGTGGAATAGAATCAACATTATGGTAAGAAAAAAATACGCTTATTAGAATGAAATTATTTCAATGCTTTCGTAGCCAAACCTAATAATCTTGAGAGCATCAGATCACATACACTCTTCATAGGTATATGGAAAAAAATACAACTCCAAGAATCTGTGCATATAACTACCCCCTTGCTTTTTGCAGCAAAGGTCTGTACTGTCTGAGGGCTATCAAAGGTTGGGATGCTTCCAAAGGCAAACTCTTTATTCAGAGGCAGATTTGATCAAGGCTCATGTTTTCCAAAAGGCAGCTAGTTTACTTAGGTCCTTTTAAAAATCCCTTCCCTAGAGCTCATCCACTGGGCTGTTTGGGCTGCACATTTTAAGCAGCAGCAAACTGCCAAATCAAAAGCACAGAATTTGTTTCTAAGAGAAGGAAGGAAAAGACAAAGGGCAAAAGTTAACATTGCAGATCATTGCAAGCTTCAGGGAGCATAAAACAATTATTTTAAAGAGAGCTAAAAATGATGTTTTCTAAGAGTGCTTGCTCTTCTGCCAAAGGTGTGCAATACCCTGAGAAACATGTTTGCAGAATCAAAATATTTGTAATACTACAAAGAAGCAGTCCCTGCTTTGGAAACTTATCATAGCTGGTTCAGTTGGAACTCCATTTTTCATAATACAGACAAAAGATTATTATTAATCACAGACAGAAGTGAATACTGGCTTTGTTGCCATCTTAATGTTAAAAGAGGGAAAAAAACCCCATTGTATGTTTTCTCTCGGTTACCTGATAGTTACCTTGGTGTAACTATGAATATAGTTATAGGACAAAACACAATTCTAGCTTCTACCTTCTGCTATGTGACAGGAGTGAGCTGTACTGGAACGCACTCTGAAAAAAAAAAAAGGTACAGAAGGGTCATGCAAACAAATAGAAAGTCACCTGGTCCCACTGGAAGCTTTACAAATGTTTGTTCTTGATACTCCATAATCTTGGCTCAACTCAAAACCCAATAAAACTCTTCATTGGTAGCCCAGGAGAGCACAGAAAGCTTAACATTTATAACAGTCAAACTTAAGAGAAATTTCGGAAAGTCTCAAGTTCAGTTTCTTTTCTAATTTCAAGCATCGGAACTTGTATTTTTAGGGGGGGGGAAAAAAACGAAGAGAAGTGATTTAAAGTAATGAATAGAGTGACAATTCACGTTTGATAATCCAAGTTTTCTTGCCATATTTAGCTAATGCCGAAACACTGTCTACAGCAACATCAACAGTGCAGCTGTGAGGCTGCCAATACTGGCTCCAACTGTGAAAAGCACTTTTTTCTTTTTTTTTTTAAGTCTTTTCTTCACTTTTCCCCTTCCAAAGACACAAAAAAGGAGAAAAAAAGCCAACTGCTTTGTACAATTGACAGGCAAAAGAATCTACAATTTTAATTTGTAGCACAGTTGCTATTTGCATATCAAGCTAGCAAGAATTTAACGTAACATGTTATAGCATCTGCCACATTGGAGCAACAACTTGTTCAGAAATCATGAATTGCCAGCTCCTGCATTTAATTTACTTTTAGTTGCTCTATTATGTTGTAAGCCAAGAAAGAAAAGGAAAAAATGATACAAGAGGGTGCTGGCGACACTTGTGTGCCAAAAAAAAATTAAAAAAAAAATTTAAAGTTGGCTTTAAGTAAGGTCCAAAACTGAGACAGATCACTTTAGGCTTTCAGAAAAGTTGCTTAATACCCTCAAAAAAGCCGGTCTGCATAGTTTGTTAAATTACAGTAGGCAATTCTCTTTCAGTAAGAAAATGGCAAACCAGCAAAAGTCGAAAAAGAGCATTCAATGTGCTGAAGGCATTTATACTATCTATGCTAGTTGATTCATTAGTTGCAGCTTCAGCAATCCCCTCAATATCTCCCTTCTCTCCACGCCGATGAAAAGCTGGAACAGAGCAAGACAAACTCGTGGTGCTACAAGCTGGTTCTATTAACTGGTGGGGTTTGACTCACACCGCAGTCACCAGCAGTGGGTATGCTGAAGATGTGTATCCCTTCCCTAAAAGGGAAAGTGATCTTTAATGATTATTACAAACAGATGAAGTCGTACAACTCTCAGTCTTTGGTTGATCTGCAATAGCACCCGCCTCCATCCTTCTCTTCCTGCAGGCATCAACAAAAAAAATCTGCACTTGCCATCCTCCTTTCTGACACATCCTCCACACTTACCCATCTAACTTCATCCCTCTACACCAATCCATTAAAACAAAGGGGGAGCTATAGTCAGAAATTATCTGTTAAATCACAGCCCAACCTTCCGCCTGTCCTGCGTAGTTAAATTTTAAGCACGCTAGGGTGGGACTTTTTGTGTTACTCTCTGCGACACCTAACACACCAGAGTACTGCCCGCAGTTGACCCTGCAGCAAGCTGTAACAAACACATTACAAACACATTATCTGACTTTTCAGGTTTTGTCATAGTAAAGAATGGGCAGTCAAGACAGCATCCATGCAACTGCATGCAGTTCAAATGTCAGCCTTGTCACGTGTAGGAACACAACAGGGACAATTCATGTTCATCTCAGGACTGTCCTACACATCAGAAACTGGTTTCAAGATCAAATATGCTGAAAAGCAACCAAAAGAGGATACACTGAAGTTTCTTCTGCCCTTAAACAGATACTTAAGCTCATGTTATAGGTCTTCAAAAACTCATTTCTTTATGGTGTTATAGTTAGTTTAAAATGCCTATGATGTACTGCCAGGCCATCAATCCTGGAAGACAGAAACTTAGATTTATCTTGGTGAATTTGGAGCTTTAAAAAAGATGTGAAAGACAGTAACATAGTACAAAGTGAGCCCTAAAACAAGTATTACCACACTGTAAATCTAGAACACGTTCAATGTGAATGGGTATGTTATTATGCACTGTAGTGCATAATAGTAAAGTCAGCTAATAGTACCAGCATAATCACTGGAGCAACATGTTTTGTCTGAGAACACCTAGAGAACAAACACATGAACAGCAGGTTTCCACATACACACTATTTACTCACAAGGCTTCAGAAGAGCTGGTGATGTCTTCCCACAATAGATTAATCAATACCAAAGTAATCATTGCCTCCTACCTCGGTTAAAGAATTAGCCAAATCATGCCATATTACAGCTCTCCCCAGAACTTCCCACAATAGAAAAGAGCTGCAATTGAAAGTACCTATATTAAAAAAATTATAATATATGTACAACGGGAAAATTAGTTCTTTATAAAGGTACATTTGTTCATGTTTGACTGTTGTTTTCCCATTGTCAGAACTTTCCAGCAACGTTAATTCCAACAGTTTGGAAAATACTGACAGTAAGTACCTGCTATTCTAGAGAGTAGTGTTTGAAAGTTACAGCTAGGACAGAAAGTTGGAGATGTATTTAACATATTTTTAAAAAGAAAACTGTGAAGTCAATGAGCTTGATGCATAAAAATGAACTTTTGTCAAGTTTTATCAACAGCTTTATCATTCTACATCTCAATGGTATTCTAACCAGTTAGTACTTCATTATACTAGATTACATTAACCTTCTCCCACCTTCCGATTGCTCTGAATCAACTGATCATACTGGTTTTCCTAGAGTACTGCCAAAGGTGTTTTGAATGATCCAAGACGCTCAATAGTTTGCTTAACTTTTAAGTCAGGCTGCAGTTTCATTGATAAGGCATTCATGGCCCCTTATTACAATGAAAAAAATAAAAATTCTCTTCTCAGCCCCCGGGAATTCAGGCGGATTTCCCAGAACCCCAAAGGTAAGCCTAACCTACTCATATAAAATCAAGACACTGAGCAGCAAAGATGGAATTAGGGTAGCAAAGACCATAACTAGCTACTGGTTAATGCATGGAACCAGGAAGCAGACAGAGAGCTGATGTCTGTGCTCCTGTAATTACATTCTACTGTTCTTCCGTGCCTTATCTTCCAGTAAATAAAACAGATAGATTTTGCTACTATCCCATTTCTTCTATCACTCCGTTAAACGCTCCTGCCTTTAAAGCTGTTGGTGCACATGTGCACGCAAACATCATCCCACCTAGCAGAGCAGATTGTTTAGTAAAGAAATATACATACACATTTTGAAAACAGGATTTTATTGGAAGCTTATAAAAAATGTCTGAAATCTTATTCAGACCTTAGTCCCTTTTCTTTTTAGCTTTGGGTTCTTGTGACAGCTGAGATAATTCACTGTCTTCAACTTCATCGCAATGCTTTTTCTTTTTCTTTGACTTTTTATGGTCACTTTGGTAACCACTGGAGTCACTGGTAGGCAATGCATGTTCCTGTTGTTCTTGCTTATGCTTTTTCTTTTTCTTCTTCTTCTTGCTTTTATCATCATCACATAATCCATTCACAGGATCAACACTTTGCTCTTCTGCATTTTCCCTCCCAGTATTACCCGTCTCACCTAGAGGCTCCTCTGTAACATTATCTCCCCCAGAGTCATTCAAGCCATTTTCCGGGTGGTCAAGCTTTTGAATTTCATCTGCATTTGCACTGCCAGTGACGGCCTCAGATTGTTTGGGCTGCATGCTGTAAAGAAATATACAAAATAAGCTGAAGCAGACACATCTAAGTGCACCTCACACAGTGAAATGTCAAAATTTGCTAAAACATAGTATTTACACTAAGTAAATAAAAGATAAGCATTTGCTAAAAACAGTAAATGGAGAACATGATGCTCTAGCTACAGAAAATCATTAAGCCAGTATAGTACTTTCAGCTTAATTTCTATTACCCAACTAGCCTCCTTCTTACCATAGAATCAATATTCTCTTTAAAATCTTAGCCTAAATTTCTTCTCTAAAATGCTGTACAGACCATTTCAATATCTACTCTTTTCTTGTACTCCTTCATCCACTAATGCCTAATTACACATAGTGTAGTAAACCTTTTTTTCTTCCCTTAAGTTATTCACAAACATGCACAGCCAACGATTTGTTCAATCACATGAGACACACTGCTGGTTTTACCAAGCAATTGCCTTGCTGAAGTCTATACAGTTAAAACAAAGGTGATGGCAGAAGAGTCAAAAAAAAAAAAAAAAAAAAGAAAAACCCCAAACAAAAATCCAAAAACCCAGCAGGTACCTTGCAACTCAGAGCACTGGAGAAAATGTCTAGGAAGACAAATATGGAAAGAATGCAGTTAAACATGGAGGAGGAGATGCCCCCAGAGGCATTAAGGACAAAATCTTTAAGTTTCATTCTAAGTTTACTAAAACAATCCAGAGCATCCTTCCAGATTTAAAAAAAAACAAACCAAAAACCAAACAAAAAACAACACCAGAGACCTCTAAAAATGTTATGATTTTGTCAATAGTAATCATATTGTACATTTAACTTAAAAACATAACCACATTAGTAGAAAAAAATTGCTCAGTAAATGACCATTTAAGAAAACATCTGAATGAACTCTTTTAAAGATATCACTACTTTCGCGAGCTACTCTAAAAATTGAGAGGCAGAAGTGAAAGGAGGAAGGTGACACATTTTCCCATATCATCTTTGAGACCAAGTACATTTTTATGTTTCAGCAAGCATTGAAGTTATACACATCTGTGGTTATGTAATGTGTGCGTATGTGTGTACACACCAATGTAAACGTTGTGTTCAGGAACTGGATTGTTTTCACTTGAAAAGCCTATACACATTCATAAACACAGCTACTCTAGACATTTGGGAGTGCTATTCTAAACACATACTGTTTATACAATCAACAGTTCACAGGTCAGCACACTTAAATTTTTAAAGCTCAAACATATCTATTTTTATTTTTCCAGAGAAAATTTCCATGCAAGTCCTTAACACTAGACAGTTTAAAGAAAACTAAAACAGACTATATATAGACATGGGTTTGTATACAAGCAAGAAAGCTTAAATATTAAGATGTTAATTCAATTCACTTAGCCTTTAACAAACCCATTAAAACAGTTAAAAATATTCTCTAGTATGGCACAATACCTGCTTTTAGTGAGTCCTCCTCGAATGAAGAACACTCCAGCTGCATCAGAATCCAAGTGCAATACTTGAAATTTCAGTTCATCCCCTATTTTTAACCCCAGCTCTTGCCACTGTACAATCGACATTTGTTCAGGTTTAGGGATAGAAGCATTGAAGCATCCATGTATCAGGCAGCCAATATGACTAGGGGCCACTTTATTAATTACACCCTAAAAAAAGAACGTCATACGAAGCTATAGTAAAGATCACCCCTTTAAATGCACACATAAGACATGCTTAGTTTCCTACGCACAAGTTACGAAGTCAGTTTATCTAGCAAATAAGTTAACTCTTCTTCACTAAAATCAAAGCTATTCCTATCTACTCTTGATACAATTCCTCCCAAAACAGAATGAACCTGTATCTGCAAGAGAAAGTCAAAACATGAGATTTGGCCACAACAAGTACCTGAATAGAGAAGGTAACACTTTCCTCACTCTACAGCCATCAACTTTGCTTTAAAGCCATTTTAAGTCTGATTTACTTGCCCAAAATGGCCTTCGTGCTGGCACAACACTACTTAGCAGCTAAAGATACAAATGACACATAAAAAACTTTTAAGTACTCCATTCAGTGCGTTTCTGTCACACTGGCACGTCAAACTTTATTCACTTTTGTTTTCCCCAAGGATGAATGAAAGACACTGAGGGTTTTTCCATTCTCTTCCTAGAGAACAGAATTTCTTAATCACATTTGAAAGGCACAAGCTATCCTGCAAGAGGTATGGCACAGCAGCAAATGTAAGCCAACTCTCAACTAATTTTTCTGACAAATAGTGTCACAAAGGTGTTACCAAGCTTAAAGCTATTCTGTGAGCCAGACGTTACGTTTTACTAAAAGACAAGCTTCAACTTGATATACTGCTCTTGTACTTGAAGGAAATAAACTTATGAGAAGATCCTAAAAGTCCCTGCCACTATGAAATAAGAACAAGCACACCTGTTTGAAAATTATCTGCTCTTCAGAAAGAGGTATTGATATGAATATATAAATGATATACAAATTTATGATATCATATTTAATAAAACATAACCCTTATGAGACAATATTTTCATAATCTATATTACATATAAATTTAACAAATATAGGGACAAACAGTATAGACAGATGAAAATAAAAACTACTACTATAAACCACTAATTACTCTAAGCTACTCACATGCTAATATAAACTAAAATATAATTCCATCTAAGTCCCAGACCTCTGTTGATGATGGGCATGCCAAGCTTTGACTGCTTAAGAGAAAAGATGCCCCGTGAGACATCAACGTGCCTACATACCACCAGTTTTTTCCCTTTCTTGGGGCTGAAGATGACGAAATCCGCCTCGATGTTCAGGTGGATGAACCCTTGGTCGTCGTAAATGTCCCCGAGCTCACCCACCACTTTGATGTTGTCGTAAGCCACCGGCACACCCTGAAGGCTGGAAGGAGAAGCGGGGGG